TTAAGAAACAGATGCTACATGGATTTTTGGTCTTTGTTGTTTGTTCTGTCCTAAAGAGTTTGGCCCCATCCACTTGGCCCCCACTCTGTAGGTATTTATAAGCACTGGTAAGATCTTCTTTCTCCAGGTGAACGTCCCCGAGGCTCTCAGTCTGACCCCATCAGGAGGTGTTCCAGGCCCCCACCATCTCTGCAGCCCTCTGCTGGGTTCTCTCCACCAGGGCTCATGGCCAACTGTTGGCCAACTGTTGGACTCCAAGACACCCCCACCACCCACCTGGTGGTTCTCTGTACCGTGCTGGTTCCAAGTATCAGCCTCTGGATTGCTGATGGCAGAGTGTCCTGCATAGTTTTTCTGCTCTTCCTCTATTTCTTCATATTCAAGTAGAATTTTAGCTGCTCTCAGTTGACCCAGTGCACCAAAGGCAAGATCTTGTTATCCCATTAGCTGCACCCCTGCAGCAGCTGAATGCCTGCCGTCCCCTTTGGGGTGGGACACTGCAGTTTGGGCACAGCATGAAGCACACATCATGTACCAAGTGTCTGATGGAGGCACCTTATTTGCATAGATTTGAATAATGTGTACTTTATTGTGCCATTAAGCCTTCAATAAAAAGGAATTGCTTTGTATAATTCAACAATGGGTTTATCAAAGCGCTCTAAATGACAGACTATGGAAGAGGCTGCCTTTAACTGCCTGATGAAAGGTGTTAAGAAGTTTGGAGATCTACTGTTTTCTTTATTATTTTTCTTTAAGTGGGCCATTAAAAGCCACCTGTTAGGCTGAAGTACAAGCATTTATGATGATCTGATCTCTGCTTCCTAAATCCACTCTGGTGCATAAATCTTACAGGGAGCTGCTGTGGGAACAGGGATGGTTCAGTATGGAGAAGAGGAGGCTCAGGAGAAACCTCATGGCTCTGTACAACTCACTGAAAGGAAGTTGGAGCCAAGGGAGTGTCAGGTTGGATGTTAGGAAACACTTCTTGTAAGGAGAGGTAATGCATTGGAACAGGATGGAACAGGAGGTGCTCCAGAACCATGGAGATGTGGCACTGAGGGATGTGGTCAGTGGGCATGGTGGGATGATGGGTTGGGGTTGGACCAGGTGATCTTTGAGCTCTTTTCGAACCTTAAATGATTCTTTGGTTCACTGATTCTCTTGCTTGCATGGAATTGAGCATTCCCATTTGCTTGGCTGTGACTCACCCCCACCAGGCTTTGTCACCCGGCCTGGGGACTGTGCTCTGCCATGAGATGTGAGTCACAGAGCAAAACGCTGCTGCCTGAACTGCTGCTGTCAAAAATAAATTCACAGGACTTCATTCTTTATGCCATTCTTGCTGTTACTGGCTGCAGCTTGTCTCAGGAAAATGGGTGGTTTTGATGGACATGAGACCATTTTTCCACTTCTTGAGTTAAGACCAGGATTAGCCGCAAGAAGATAAACTTGTTCTTAGTGTATTCCCTTCAAATTAGCTTGCAACTGCCTGGCAGATTTTGGGTGCATCTTTATACAAAGTGTATGTCCTTGCTTGGCATGATAAATAGAGTCCTGCCAGCAGTGAAGCATTAACAATTCCTTACTAATGTTTGGCTTTTCTAAGCAGGGCAGCAAGGGAAGGGGGCAGACCCAGACATAACCTCTGCCCCCAGCTGTCTGTGCTGCTTCAGATGGATTGAAAGTTCATGGCAGCACGAGGGTAATAACACTGAGGTTATGTGTCCACATGGCCAAGGACTGCTGCCACACCTGGGGACAGCACCGGTGACACATGGGATCCATGGTCCCACGTGGGATCAGGGGAACAGATAGGAGGAAGGCATTGTGTGACCTTGAGGAATAAAATAAACATAAAAAAAAACCAACATGGAAATAGAAAGATAGTGCCCACAGGGACTCAGAATGAAAGTTTCTGCTGCATTCTGCAGGTTCATTATTTGGAAAGGGCAGAAGAGGAGAAGGGATCCTGCTTGAGGCTGAGATGAGCTAAATTACCCTCAGAGTCCCTTCAGCTCTTTGACCGAGAGCTGCATAATGAACTTGATTTTCCCTTCCTTACTTTCTTAGCGTGTGCAGGAGGATCAGGATGCTTTGATACCACTCTCAATTCACTCTTCATCCAGAGCAGAGAGGCGGTGCTGGGAGAAGTGGAGAAAAAGGAGAAAGTGTGTTCAGATGAACCAAAGAGAGGTGGGGCTGTGCAGCACAGAGTGAGCATCAGGGTGCTGAGGAGCAGGGTGAGTGCATTCTGATGGGGGAGAATTGAGGTCCAGAAGAAGTGTGTGGTAAGAAAGCAGTGAGAACAGTGGGCCTATTGAAAGGGCTGGCATAGGTGACAGTGCAGGTAGGAGTGACTGCTTTTGAAGCAGAGCATTATGCTTTCATGTGCAGCCAGCTGCCCTGGCAGGGGTTGGGTTCAGCGACCACAAGAAGGGCTGAGCATTGCTGTGCCAGTGTTTGCATCAGCTTGCATTGAACAGTTGGTGCTGGGAAGCAGCAGAGGTGCAGAAGCAATTAATCCAGTAGGACTTAAAAGCAAATACATGAAAAAGAGGTTAGAGAAGATGATCTCTTCGGCTTGTTTGCTCACTCCTTCATATTTAGCCCCCATGCTTGCTCTTATTCGTAGAATCATAGAATGGCCTGGGTTGAAAAGGACCACAATGATCATCTAATTTCAACCCCCTGCTGTGTGCACGGTCACCAACCAGCAGCCCAGGCTGCCCAGAGCCACATCCAGCCTGGCCTTGAATGCCTGCAGGGATGGGGCATCCACAACTTCCTTAGGCAACCTGTTCCAGTGCATCACCACCCTCTGTGTGAAAAACTTCCTCCTAATATTTAAACCTCCCCTGTCTCAGTTTAAAACCATTCCCCCTTGTCCTGTCACTGTCTTTGCTGAGGATGAGGGTAGGAAGGTGCTTGGTGTTCCCTGCATGGAAATAAACCCTGTGCTCAGTGCTTACTCCCACTCCACACTGTGTTTCTGCAGCTGTCTTCTCCGTGCTCTCTCCATTACCTCTGGTAATTGAGTCGCCCGTGGGATATAGCAAAGGGTATGCTTGGGTGCTTTGTGGGAAAAGCATTCTTTCAAGCTGGAGCCCTTTGTTGGGGGTGGGGAGAAGACAGAGAAATCTGCAGTCATAAAACAGGCAGACTGCAGCTGACGTTGTTAGTCTGTGCAATACGTATTCATCCACCTTGCACAGACTTAACAAATGGCTCTTGTGATCATTACAGTGGATAGGAGATATGAAAGTGATGTGAAGCTTTGTTTTCCTTGCTTTGTTTTTCTTTTGTTCTTATTGCACAGCAGTGATTTCATTGCGTTGACTCCTGTTCCTTTTCTCACTGTCGTGCCTTGTATTGAGTTCCCGTCAAGCACTGAAGTACAGAAGTACAATTGTATGCCTAATGAAAAAAGCAATAATTATTTCATTAATATCAGAGCAGAGTTTAGAGTTTGTCTGTATCAAACAAGAAATCACTGACTGTATCAAGTCAAAGAGTTTCTCAGCTTTTTTGCAAATGTGAAACAAAAGCAAGCAGTATCTTGAACCTGCACTTAAAGACTGAAGCTTGCACTGTTCTTGTGACATCCCACAAAAAAGCTGATCACATGTGATTGTGGGTAGGATTGGGGGCTGGCTCGGGTAAGGTCAGGTTTTGGTTTCTGAGCAGTGCTGTTGTGTTTCTTCTCTCTAATGACATGTTAGAATAAAGCAGAACTCTTGGAACGAGTCCAGAGGAGGGCCACTAAGATGATCAGAGGGCTGGAGCACCTCTCCTGTGAGGAAAGGTTGAGGTAACTGGGATTGTTTAGCTTGGAGAATAGAATGCTCTGGGGAGACCTCATTGTGGCCTTCCAGTAGTTGAAGGGAGCATATAAACAGGAGGGGGGAATGGCTGTTCATGAGAGTGGGTAGTGCTATCACTAAGGACAAGGGGGAATGGTTTTAAACTGAGACAGGGAAGGTTTAGGTTAGATATTAGGAGGAAGTTTTTCAGACAGAGGGTGGTGATGACGGTTGGACTAGATGATCATACAGGTCATTTCCAACCTTGTGATTCTATGATTCTATGATGCACTGGAACAGGTTGCCCAAGGAGGCTGTGGATGCCCCATCCCTGCAGGCATTCAAGGCCAGGCTGGATGTGGCTCTGGGCAGCCTGGTCTGCTGGTTGGTGACCCTGCACACAGCAGGGGGTTGAAATTAGATGATCATTGTGGTCCTTTTCAACCCAGGCCATTCTATGATTTTGTGATATCATGGGAGGGGGGCTTTCAAAGGGTCTGCGATAAGGACAGGCCTGGCTGCTTGTATCTTCATAGCTATCACTTCACTTTTATCTGAAAACTATTTCATGGTTGTGGTTGTGATGTGTGAAACCTTCATAGAATCACAGAATCATTGAAGTCCCCATCCCCACCCCACCATGCCCACTGTCCACGTCCCTCAGTGCCACATCCTCACTGTCCTTGAACACCTCCAGTGATGCTGAAACTGAATTGGAAGACAGAACTGCAGAACAGCTTAGAGCAAAGGAAAAAGAGATGAGAATTATGGGAGTCAGTGTTCTTTATCATGTTGATGCACGTGGGGCTGAGCTCTGGCAGTGGGACGTGGAGCGTGGGGTTACCGGTCATGATAACACTGCTGATGGGTTTGAAGCGAAAAAAAGGCTTAATCCCATTGTTTAGCATAAACTGCTCCTCTGTTATTGAATTTGCGGACAAAAACAAGCCCTGTGCAGCTCTTGACTTTTTAATAGCTATATTTTATTAAGTAAATGTGTTTTTTATGATGACTCGGGTTTTGGTGGTTACTAACATTGGTTTTAGCTTTGCTAGCGATGCGCTGGAAATTTGCCAAGCACAGCAATACGGTTCATGCCCTGAAGCTTGTACAGCCTCAAAAAGGAGGATGCTGCAGGAGGAGGGAGGGTGTAATGATCTCTCTTAACATTTGTTTCTCTTCTTCCTTCCCTCGCTGCAGACCGTGCCGAAACCGATAGCGCTGGAGCCGTGCTTTGGTAACAAAGCAGCTGTTCTCTCTGTATTTGTGAGGTTGCCTCGAGGGGTTGGGGGTATCCCACCACCAGGACAGTCAGGTGAGGAATATCCTTTGTCTCCACTGCCTTGGTATTAACCTCTGTGCTCCCTCCCCAGCCTCACATTCACCTTACAGCTTTGCACTTGATCCCGTGGCGATTGCTGTATCCAGGCATGGATGTGCTCAGGGTATTTGAAGCTGGCTTGGGACCTGCTAGCTTCCTGCCTATAGTTTGACAGCATTTCTTGGGTCACTTGGTGGATGAACATTTGGTATTTGGATTACAGTTTCATTTATTGCTGTGAAAAAGTGAGATTCATTGCTGGCAGGCTCTCAGTAATTAGTCATGAAGGTAACTTGTCTTCAAGCCTGTTCTGTGCATTCCCAGCTCCATCCACAGCAGGATATCAGGTCATAGAATTTTGGAAAAGACTACTAAGATCCCCAAGTCCAACCCCAACACACCCCTACCCCTCAGTGCCGTATCTCTATGGTTCTTGGACACCTCCAGGGACAGTGACTCCCCCACTCTGGGCAGCCCATGCCAGTGCCTGACTTCTCTTTCCAAGACAAAGTGTTTCCTAATACCCAACCTGACCCTCTCCTGGTGCAACTTGAGGCCATCATCTCTCATTCTGTTGCTGTTACATGGGAGCACTTACCTTCCAAAACATCCCCTTAGCAGATCCATCAAGTTTTCTTCATCCATCTTAAGGTCTCCCAGCCCCTTCTCACCTAAACCTCATTTCATACTGCTGAGACTTAATCTTCTCGGGAGTTTGTGGTTTTAACTGAGCTTTCTCCAATGACTGGTGAGCATTGATCTTCAAAGGTTATTAGTAGACATTGAGATGGGATGGTTTGGCTGGGAGCTGCATTGAGATGAATCTCAGATGGCCACGGTGTTTGGCTGTGGTTATGCTGGGAAGAGGCTGCAGAGCTGAAGGATGTCCAGAAGGTGCAGGGAAACCTCTGTGCACAGGTGCTTTGTTTGAGCATTTATTTTAGTGCATTTACTGGTGTGGAAAAGGACTCCCCCCTTGAATATTATGGGTTTAACTCCATTATAACCTACTCATCTTATTTCCAGTATTTTTCTACAGCATTTGCTTTCAACAGAGCAGGCAGCATTTAAAAGCTTATTTCAGTATAGCCACTAGAGTTTAATCTCTAAACAAGAATGTTTTTCTGCTTTACTATTTTTTTCTTAAGAACTCGAAGCACGATTTTCGTTTTGTGGCTCAGAGGGTTTTTCTCAGCTGGGGTGGAAGAATTTGTTTCTGTGACTGTTTTGTTTTGTTGCCTCAGGTCTTGCTGTGGCCAGTGCACTGGTGGACATTTCACAACAGATGCCAATTGCCTACAAAGAGAAATCGGGTGCAATACGAAATCGGAAACAGCAGCCCCCTGCACAGCCAGGAACCTGTATTTGATGCATGGACATCAGAAACTCTATAGGGTTTTAATCAAAATGGTAAAGTACCACCGAGGAGGAAGATTCTCAAGTTGTGTGTCACAAGAGACTAGAAGCACTCAGAAAAACACAGCTTCCTTGAACCCAACCTTTTCTCTCATCTACGTGATAGTTGGCTTTATTTGGCAACTGCTCCACTTAAGTTTTACTGACACGTGGCTTCAGATTGCGCCTTTGTTTTCTTCAAGTTGAAAGTAAAATAATTTTCTTGCAGGTCCAGTAACATCCGATCGCCACCATTCATGGTCAGTGTAAATAGAACAGTAGTCCTATGAATGACACTCAGGTTTATACATGGAAAGTGCTTTGTAGTTCATGTATTTATCAAACTGTACAAAAAAAAAAAAAAAAGATGCAGTGTTTACAGGTGTCAGCTCTCAACACATAAACACTACTATTAATCTTCAAAGCATCTTCATCCTTTTTTTTTTTTTTTTTTTTGTTTATTCCCACAATATTTAAATGGAATTCTCTTCCAGATTACAGTTTTTGTCACCATGATCCACAACATCAGGAAGGGGAAAGCTAGAGTGGCTCAAAGGGTGAGTTTGTATGTTGCTCAGACTGCTTGTTCCACCTGGAGAAGTGGAAAGTCGCTGCTGAAGGACTCAGTGTTTACATAGTCTTAACCTACTTGGAGTACACCACACACAAGTGCCTAGACTTGAACAGATCTAGGGAGCGAGGAGACTACTACACAGTTCTTTTTAACATAATTGTATTCCTTTTCAATATATATATGTGTACACACACGTATATATATATGTGTAGTCACCCAAGATAACTTGTGTTCTTTATATCACATTAGGTCAGGGAAAAATGGCATTTTCCTGTCTAGCAAACTACTCAGCCAGATGGAAATATCTGGAGGGAAAGCAGTGTTTCAGTATCTCATAAGAAACCCCCTGGTTTCACTAGTGCTTTTCATAGAAGCACTTTGTGTTATGGGTCAGATATGTTACATTTCTTCTGCGTTGCTCTGCACAGTTTGGCCTCTTCCCCTCTTCCTTCCCTTGGGCCATTTTTTTGGGTACAAGCTGAGCTGTGCTGGTGCACAGAAGCACCACTCCTCGGCTGTAAGACTTTGTCCCACTCCTCAGTGAGTGTAAAGAGCAGCACTCCACTAACCAGATGTTTGAAGATGAAGAATTCAAATAATAATAATAATCAAACAAAGGCAGAGCATCTTCATTGGGCCACGTTTGAATTTTCCATGATTTCTGTGATTAATTCTGGATGTTCCCCATTCAGGTCGAGCTGCTTGTAGGTGTTGAAGAGCTGCTTGTTGGTGAAAGGAAGGGGCTTGCAAAGAGCAAAAAGAAAGTTTGGCTTTGGGGGGATGTACCAAACCATCCCATGTTTTTTAAAGTAAGCTAGTTGGGATCATGGCTTAAGGCTCCAGTTTGGGCTGTGCCCATCAATCTCCATACTGCCACATGAGATCCCCTCTGCTTCTGCTAATTGTAGGAAATGCTGTGCCAAGACCATGAGGAGTTGGGATAGTGAAGCCAATGGGAAGATGTTGCAGTGCCAAATGAGGTGTTAGTCCATCATTTGAAATGTGGTTCCATTCAGGTTGCTGGTTTCTGATGAGGACGTCAGGTGGTTAGGGAAAGGAGAAGTGACAAATCTGGGGGGGCAAAGGGAAGAGCTATCAAATCTTTTCTCCAAAACGAAAACCAGTACCTGCATCTTTTTTTTGTGCACGTTTTGGTCATTAGTCACATATCAGCCACCCGTTCCTTTCTGTCAGTACGTGTTTTGGAGAACCTTTTTGGAGCGCGGCGTTGCAATAAAGGTGTGAGCTGCTATGTGTATCCAGCTGGTGGTGATGGGGTCATCAGTCCCTGGTGGGCACATTCATCAATGTGTTACATAACAAATCCAACAGAACAGCAGAAAAAAAACGTGGTGGGAATAATGCATGTATCCATATATGCATGTATGTATATATGCGTGTACGCACGTACATCCCACAGTCTGTTTCTCTACCAGAAGTATAGAAACCCATTGGGGAAGACTGAGGAAGGAAAGGGGATGAGCAGTGTCTTTCAGAATGAAGGGTTTAGGCAATTAAGTCATAACTGATGCACGATTACCTCAGACAGATTCATCTCCTGAAGCTATTTTGTAACTTTCTATGTGTATAGGGCTAACCTGGACTAGGCTGTACCAGAGAAGTACTACTGGGCTAAAATCCCTCCCCTGTGCTTATGTTCCTGCTTTTGGTTCTGATGCACATCCTCACGCTCTGAGGTGTCTTCTCCCACTTCTCCAACCCTTTTGGGAGAGGAGAACTGCCAACCCAACTTGAGAAAACTCTTGTGCTGAAGTCTTTGTTCTGAACTGCAGATTTGGAAAGGCGATGCGTTGTTAATGTTGAGAAAAAGATGTGATTTTCCCCCAGAGAGAGCTGGGTGGTCTGGTGTCGAGAGGAGAGTAGCCACAGAGGTGTCAGAAGGGCGAAAGATGAGCAGAAATGATCCAACGTTGACGATGGGCAGAACCAAAAAAACGTAAATAGAGGAAGAAGGCGTATTGATGTAAATCAAACCCAACGGCGCCTGGCGGATGTGGCTCAGCTCTGCATCTTATCTCCATACTGATGAGGGAAAGAGAGAACTCTCATACAAATCTCCACTGCAAACAGTTTCATCCCAGCTCAAAGGTAGAAGTGAGGCGAAGGTGGGAGCGCTGCCGGTGGTTCATCACCAGGCCATCATCCCAAGTGAAGGATTTGTGGGGTGATTCAGCTTGGATGTGGTGGAGTGGGGAGGGGGAAAGAGCAACGTTATTTCGTGGGAAAATCTGTAAATAAATGGAAAATAACACACTGATTTTGCACTTGTACATAAACTATACAGTAGTGTGCAGAACGTGGGAAGATTTAAAGTGTATATAAACCAGAAAAAAAAAAAATATTGAATGTATTTTTGATGCATTTTAAATGATGTATGAGTTTTGTCTTAATAACTTCTTCGTATGATGAGTATTAGATGACTTTCCAGAGCTTTAAAGAAACATCAGATTATATTCCTGATATCTTGTGGTGTAAGGCAGGGAGGCAGAATTTGACTTGTATGTATTCAAACACTTTTCACTGAAGTGTACAAGAGAAGCTAAATAAAGCTCTTCTGTTTGAAAGGGAAAAAAAAAAAAATCTTGAAGATAGGTAATAAATGTACTTAAAGTAGTCATTACGTGGAGGATTAAGTCAGCAGTTTAAGCTTCTGCTGCTAAGATTGTGCCAGTGATTTCCATTCAGAATCACTATTTTCGAGCATTTATAACTGGCTGAAATTCAGCATTCAAGGTCTCAACCCGTTCTATTTTTTCAAGAGTAGCCATTAAAAAGAGTGAAGAAATATTGCAGCCCTCTTTTTCTAGGAAGCAGCAGTGCCACTGGATCTCCAAATAACACAATTGGCCTTTGACATTGCCCATTGTGTAGCCTAGAAGTTTCTCTGGACTGTTGCAATGTTGAGCGATAGGAGACCTTGATGCAATATGGGTCAATGCGTTGGGTAGAAGAAAATCTATGGGACACAACTTTTGCATTATCGCCACTCTCATGGGGCTTAAGATGTTCTGTATGGGAAGATATGATAGATAACCTCTATGCGACTGGATGATGCCTATGATCAGCATGAAGTCTTAGTGGATAATGTACCAAAATGCGATGGTGTGTTACCATAGGAGCATGTTGGGCTGCACAAAGCCATCCTTGGATACAGGCTTCCTTTGGGATACTGCGAGCACTCAATGTTGTTCTGAAACATCCTGTTCTCTGTACTTAAATGTTTTCCAAAACGTGTCTTCTCCGGGTTCATGGCGTGGTTTTAGAAGGCAGCTTGGTGAGAGGTTGATGAGGTTTGATGAGATCCACGTCCACCCACGAGGCCAAAATACGACGCCGACGCCAAGGACCGCTGCACAGAGCCCCATCACTCAGCTTTTGCTGCTTTGGCTTTTCTGCAAGACCCCAGGTTGAGGGCAGAGCCTCAGCCCTTCACCATGAGTCTTGGCAAGCCCTTCTATCCCCACAAATATGGATTTGTCGGCACTGAGCTTGCAAGAAAATACAGATTTGCTCCTTACACGCCGGGAGCGACGCTTAACTCAATCCATCCAACTTACAGTAAGCTCGTTGGCATCTCTTCTATTCCTTCTCCCTCTTTATCTCCATTTGGGAATGGCGTGGGGACAGGACGGAGCGCTTTGGGTTGGGAGTGGGGCCACGGGAAAGGGAGGAAGAGATGAACACCCCCCATTTTCAGCCATGCCATTGGAATTTCGGTCACCTCCACGCTTTTTCTGTCGCAAGCCGTTCCAATGAGGCGAGTTTCCCATGCTGGGAATACAACAACGTTGTGGATGTACTGTTTGGTTTGGTTTTTTTTTTCTGCTTCTGTGTCAGGTTTCGTTGTAACCTCCTAACACTACACATGGGCGATGTTGTGCGTCTTCCAGGTACTGTAGTTCTGTAGGCATTTCCTCTCATTGACTCCACAAACCTCACCAGAAGACAGGAGGATGGAAGCTGTGGAGGAGTGTAACGTAACGTCGGTCCATTTTTAACAAAGGAAAGAAAGCAAAAAGAACATAAACATAGGTTTTATATTACTCTGAAATTTGTGCACAATAAATGTTCTTTACACTAGGGTCCTTGAATTAACTCTATTCTGGATTATTATTTTTTTTTGGTTGTTGTTCTGTAATTATTTACGATTCTTATCCGTGTTCAGACTTGAGCTTAGTTTGTTAATATGTATAATTTAGCATTTATTGCATTCATATGTAAATACGAGCAAGTATTGTAAACTATTTCATTGCTGGGGACTGTGGGTGTTATACATACACACATTTAGGACTGCAGTTTTTGGTATAATTTTTGTATTGTAAAATAACAGCTAATTTAAAGCAGGATCGAGGAAATTATCGGGAGGTCTGTGCATTTTAAATACAAATGTGAAGTACCTGTACATAAATAAAAGTAAATAATGCAAATCTTTCCTCTGAAATAAAAGGTAGACGATCTGGTTAAAAACTCTTTTTTTTTTTTTTCCCCCATCCCTTTCTTCTTTCTTGAGATGGGGGGGAAATAAATTGATTGTAGAGTTAGGGGTGAGAGTGCGGGATGTGTTTTTGCTGTGCACCAGATGTGAGAGGAAGAAGAAGAGGAAGAAGAGGGTCATAGACTCATAGAATCACCAGGGTTGGAAAAGACCTACGAGATCATCCAGTCCAACCATCCACCCATCACCAACAGTTCTCACTATTGAAGGATGGAGGCATCCTTCACCTCATCTGCCAAAACCATCCCACACCTGAATCTCCAGTTGGGGTGGAGGGTGCACCAGGGCACATAGGGTCATAGAATCACAGGATCCTCAAGGTTGGAAATGACTTCTAAGCTCATCAAGTCCAACTGTTGGCCCATCCCCATCATGCTCACTAACTGGGGTCCCTAAATAACCACATTGCAGCCCTGCCAGACGCAGGAGTCAGGTTTGTAGCTAAGAAAAGAGGTAGTCCTATATGGAGCTAGGGGATGGACATGATGATCCTTCTGGGTCCCTTCCAGCTCAGGGTTTTTTTATAATGCTAGAATATTCTAGCTCTTGGATGGGTTGCGCATCGCTGGTTGGTATTAAAGCCATCTTTTTGGTATGATGGAAGAACAAACATCTGATTTTTTCACATTAATGGGAAAAGGGCAAGAGAAAGTGATGTAAAAGTGAGCCAGAGCACCACAGCTAATGCAGATTGCCATCTTGGCAAAACCAATTTGCAGGGTTTTTTTTTGTTTGTTTATAGACTCGTCACAGAATGGTTTGAGTTGGAAGAGACCCTTAAAGGCTGTCTGACCCAATTCTTCTTCAGTGAGCAGGGACACCCACAGCTCCATCAGGTGCTCAGAGCCCTGTCCAGAATCTTGAGTGTCACTGAACCTCCAGAGGTGACCCTTTGGGTGTCTCAAGATGTTTGATTTGGGGGTGTTTGTGAAAAACCACTTCACTTGCTCTTGCTTCAGCCTTTATCCCTGTCCCTGGGCAGTTTAGGGATGTGGTTAGTGGGCATGGTGGGGATGAGTCAATGCTGGACTTGATAATCTTAGTCTTTTCCAAACTTAATGATCCTATCATTCTGATTTCTCTTTTCTGCCCAAAATTTAGGGCAATTCACAGGCATGCTTGAGCCAGCTTGCCACGAGCAGGGATACCCAGGTTCACGTTGCAGATGTAATTTGGAGATCCCTAAGGATGTCTCTGCTGAAACCATGGGCTGAGTCTCACCTCTGCTGTCCATCCCCATTGGGGCACCTGTCCCTGTGTCCTCCAGCAAAGGCCCAGAGGGCTTTTGTGTGCCGACCTCAGTCTGAGAAGCAGGAAAAATCAACTCTTTGAAAGGCTAGATAACAGCAGGACAAGGGGAAATGGTTTGAAGTTGAAAGAGGGGAGATTTAGGTTGGATGTCAGGGGGAAGTTCTTTACAGAGAGAGTGGTGAGGTGCTGGAACAGCTGCCCAGAGAGGCTGTGGATGCCCCGTCCATCCCTGGAGGTGTTCAAGGCCAGGTTGGATTGGGGCCCTGGGCAGCCTGGGCTGGTATGAAATGTGGAGGTTGGTGGCCCTGCGTGTGGCAGGGGGTTGGAGATTCATGATCCTTGAGGTCCCTTCCAACCGTGGCCATTCTGTGATTCTGTGAAAAATCCATCCAACACAGCACATTTCAGATTCCATTGACTGGAGCTTCCCCAGAAAATTTTCCATCTATCTGTAGATATAAATTTCGGAGGAAAAAGTGCAACTTTGGACTCAAGAGTCACGATGGGTCCCTTCCAACTCAAGATTTTTGTCTCTTTTTTTTCTTCCTTTTTTTTTTTTTTTTCTTTTTAATTCCCCCACAGTATATTAGCACCCATCCCAACCTCTGGCCCTTTCCTGCTGCATGGAGGCTCATTGCTCTGTGACTTTATTCACTGTGAAGCATCCCCAGACTGCAGGGAACTCCTGGGTGAGCAGCAGGCTCTCATTGCTGGGTGGATGCTGCTTCCAAACTCGCACCACAGCACAAGGGATGAGGATGGGGAGCGCATTTTCAGACCTGCAAGGTCAGCTCTGTAGGTGTTTTTCAGACCCCTCATTCAAGACCACAACAAAGAACCCTCCAGCAGTTTACACTTCTGCAGGAATCCCAGCAGACCATTCGCCTTTATTTTACCCCCTCCTGCAAAGACTCTGTGATATGATCCATAGTGATTCCTTGCCTTTCACAGCCTCAGGACACTTCTGCCATCCTCCCAGAACTGAGGACACAAGAAGACACCACAATGGGTTCTGAGGGTCTGTTTGGCCAGCAAAGCTCAGGGACAACCAACATCCTAAGATGTTCTAAGCATGATATATACATCCCATCCCTTACACATCCATCCTGTGCAGAGACTCAGCCCATGATACAGGAAGACCAAAGGCTGGTGGGGACCCATCTGCTGAAACCAGGTGGGCAGAAGAGCAAAGCTGGACTACAGGACTTGAAAGGAAAGCAGCAGATGAAGGCAATTCACAGTACAACCTCATGGTGTTGAGGAAGTTCCTTGCCATTCTCCAGTAGGGTTTAATCCTTCTCACCTGTGGCTCAGAGGACACAGGTTTTTGGATTTACACCCCATACTTGCACAGATGGCCCCACTGATGCTCTGGATAAATGGGAAATGTTCACAACAGCTCAGGGCATGGCTATGGCACTTTGAAGGGAGGTATGGGACCTGTGCCACTGCTCTCTGCCTGCATTTCCAATACTGGGAGATCCTCTTGGCTGTGAAGTTTTGGCACACACATTTTGTTTCAGCACATCCCCTGGCACCCTGCATGCAAGACTTAGATTTCAGCGTGTTCCAGGATCCTGTCTCTTGGATTAGGACAATCCCAGGTGCAGAACTTCAGCCAGGACACAGCCAGGAGGGTTTCTGCCCTGTCTTACACTTCCACAGATATTCATTTGCAAACAAGGGTGGTTTTATATTGGAACAAACCCCAAGAAAATCGCTGCTGTTTCTCAGCAAAACCTGAAGCATTAAAGCAATGGAAAGTGCTCTGCAGGGAATGGGAATAAAAAGCTCCAGACTTTGAAATTTCAGCTGCTTCTAAACTTTTCTATGCCTCCAAATGCTGAGCAACTGATGTTGTTCCGTAGAGAGGCATAAACCGAAGGTGAATGGGCTGCTGTAAAACTCACAGGGAGCAACGAGCCACTCCTGTCCCTCCTGTGGTCAGTCAACCTGGGAAAGCATTTGCCCAAGGAAACCTCGCTACTTTTCCTTACCACCTTCCTTATTGTCTTGGTCAAGAGTGGAATTCATCTCCCTGCAATGTTCTGGGACATCCCACCTCACTTCCTCAAGGGAAGATCGCTGGTTGCTCATGTATCACACGGTCACGTTTTCCCTTTTGTGCCCTGAGCAACCAGGGAGACATTTCTCCTCACTCTCCATCTGGTTGGGTCACTGAGCCACCCCTTAGCTGACTGATCAGCACTTGGCAGGAGGCAATGTCATTATTGTGCTAGCCTGAAGACAAGCTAACAAGGATTTCCTCCTCCAGCTATTCAAGGAAGGGGGCTGTAACAATCCACTCCCTACTAAGGACATGAAAACTCCATGTATCCTATCCCTTACATAGATGATGACATCCCTCAACTGTCCCTCTGTCTCTCTGTGAGACCAACAGGAGCACAGGTAGCTGGTGAGAATGGATTGTGTTACACTCGTATCAAGTCCTACCTGTAGCCTCACAGGTTTATCCTGCACATAGAGAGGTTGGCTGGGAGTGGAATGACTTTGGCCCCTGGCTGGTTGGATGTCATGAAAAAATACCTACCCCCAAACACTTCACAGGACCGGTAAGTAGAGATGCTAAGGTTGAGACACGAAGAAAGCCAACCATTAACAAAATGCAACACACGTGTTTCTTCCTGAACATGATCAATACGTGACACATTTCCCAAACAGGAGGGCCCAAGGAGTAGGTGACATCTTGGAGATGCATGCTGGTTGCATGTCGGCTGTAGTTTCAAGCAGGTGGATGGTTCCTGTGAGCCAATTTGTTGTATGGCTGCTTGCTCCACCCCAGAGGTGCTTCAGGATCCTCTCTGGTGAACAGAACCAACTACCTTCTCACCAGGGTCTCTGGTTTCTTCATTCTGAACCAAATGGGCTGTCCTTTGGGTCCTGAGCAGCCCTGGAGATGATCTGTACGACACAACACTTGACTTATCCTGCCCAATATCCCACAGTGTGAGTTGGGGCTTAAGGAAATGTCCTGACAGCTCATCCATCAAAAGTCTTTCCCCTCTTGGCTGGGGAAGGTGAAAGCATTTCCATTGCAGCTCTCATTTTTTGACTCAGCTCTCTCCTTTGGCTTTTCCAAGGGAACTGTCTGTGGATCACAACCCCAATCCACAGAGAGCTGGAGAGACAGCAACCACACTGTGGGGTGAAAGGTGGCCAAGACAAAGATGAGCTGGTTGTTGGCAACGCTGATTGTATAAAATCAAACAAATTGGAAGATGGATGAGGAGGAGAAAGGGATGCCTACACACTCACCTCTCCTTCCCATCCCTTCCTTCCTCCTACCCCACCTCCTGAAAGAAGTTCCTTGTCTGGTTGTTTTGTGTTTTTTTTTAAAGAAACCAACACAAAGAGAGTCACTGCCCGGCGTGATCCCACTCTGCTTCACATCACAAAGAGGCTCAGCACAGCAAGAGTAGGGAGAAGCCACAGCTGCAGCAGGGAGGCTGCCTGGTGGCAGGGAGCTGCTGGGCTGGAGGTCTCTGATGACAGACGAGTGGAGCCCCGCAGGAGCCTCTCCTCTCCAGCCACCTGCAAGAGAAAGGAAGAAGCATGGGTGAGTGTCATGGGTTTTAGCCTTGTGCTCAGCTCAGCTCTGTTGGAGATGATGGTGGTGAAAGTTTCTTTTTGTAAGATGGGGGCTGAATGCCCATGCTGGTTAGGGGAGTTCCATACCCATGGAGTCATCACCAGCCAATGACTTGATGTGGTGACCTCTCCAGGTGAAGATGTCTCCAAGTATTGGAGGTATCTCCATGGCATCAGCAGGTATTTCACCAAGCAGCAGCTGGGACCCAGGTAGGTTACTCCATAAGTAATGGCTTTACATTGTGCCAGAGGAGGTTCAAGTTGGATATGAGGAAAAATTTATCCTCCAAAAGAGTGCTCAGGCACTGGCACAGCTGCCCAGGAAAAGTGGTGTTGTTGTCATCCCTGGAGGTGATCCAGAACCGTGGAGATGTGGCACTGAGGGACATGGACAGTGGGCATGATGGAGGTGGGTTGGGGACCTCAGAGGTCTCTTCCAACCTTAATGATTCCATGATATAATGAAAGTACTGTGCACGTGGCCATCTGGACTAGGCTGTCAATCATGAAGGAGTTTCACAGCTTCTCCATTGCTTGCAAGTGGTGGCTTGGATAAAGTTCTCAGTGCAGGGTCTTGGCCTTAGACTCAGGTTGCACAAAGATTTGATGAGCACCAGCCAAAAGAAAGTCCTCCAGCTCTCCTGCATGCAAATGCTTTTCTCCCCTGATGAAAACATCTCTGCTCTGTGCATGGCCACGCATGCCCTGAAAAGCAGTTTGGGAAGCTGAGGCCACACTTCTGCACCTACTGCAAGACCTGATAACTGCTCAGTGAACAGAGCTGTGTGAGATGGTTTGGGGAAAGGTTTTAAAAACTTGCATGTGGAAGCTCTCAGTAGGTACCATCTAGCTCAACACAAGGCACAGTCCTCAGAATCTAGCGACAGCTTCTGTTACCTGCATGTTCAGCAAATCAGGGTCACTGTTAATTATTCAACAGTAAAATAATTCAATCTGAAGATTACTCTAGTGGGCGGCGAATCAAGGTCATTGCTTTTTACTTAATAATAAAATATTTAATGCTTATTACCGTCATCATCAGTAAATTAACCTGGTATTTGTTTTAGAACAATTTCAGTTTAATATTACTCCGATACTAAAAACTTGCTGATGGGTAGAATCTTTCAGCTGAGGTTTTTCAATGCTCAGTGATCCTTGCTCAGTTAAGTTTCAGTGTATGACCTCCAGCAGCTGAAAAGTTTGCACCTATGTGAATGCTCCACAACTGGGCAAGGAGTTGAATCAGTGGTTCTGGTTCTCTTCTATGCTCCCAGAAAGCATAGGGATGTTTCTAGAAAACCCATCTCTCTCATTAGCTTTCTCTCTTCGGTATTTGAAGGGAGCATATAAACAGGAGGGGGAACGGCTGTTTATGAGGTGGATAGAGATAGGACAAGGGGGAATGGTTTTAAACTGAGACAGGGAAGGTTTAGGTTGGATATTAGGAGGAAGTTTTTCACTCAGAGGGTGGTGAGGCACTGGAACAGGTTGCCCAAGGAGGTTGTGGATGCCCCATCCCTGCAGGCATTCAAGGCCAGGCTGGATGTGGCTCTGGGCAGCCTGGTCTGCTGGTTGGTGACCCTGCACATAGCAGGGGGTTGGAACTGGGTGATCATTGTGGTCCTTTTCAATCCAGGCCATTCTATGATTCTGTGATTAGCCCCATGAAAGAAAAGAGATGATGACCAGCGGGACTGAGGAGAGGGTGAAGAATAAGATAACATTGCCTTGTGCTTGGTGTTGGGTAAGAAGATGTCATGGCATGAGGAAGAAGATGAGTCAGGGGCTCTAGAAAGATAAGGGGAGGTTGGTTATCTGCATGTAGATGCAATGACACAGTTGGAAGATGGAGCCGCAGTGAGGAGGGCTGGAGGACATGGAGAGGCACGGATACAGCCAAGCAACCCTTGGGCCAGGTTCTCCTACCTTGGTAGGCTGGAGGTGCTCGAAGATGTTCTCACTGAGGGTTGCTGCAGCTCTGTTGGCGTTTCGCTCCTGCTTGTACATCTGTGTGGTGGGGGGGATGGATGGGGCTGTGGCTGCGTTCAGGTAGGTCCCATTGCCGAAAGCCTGGATGGCATTTTCTTTGCATGGGGAAGAGATGGAAAAAAGCACCATCAGGGCAACACTCCCAAGGGTCAGCACACGCATCCTTCCTTAGGTGATACTTACGGAGACAGATGTTGTCAGTGAAGAGGTGCAGGAAGCTCTCACACTCTTCCTGCCGGTTGCCACTTGCGTTGCAAGTGCACCAGGGTGCTATGCTGGAGGTCGAGTTGTCAATGTAGTTTGGGGTGATGGGGCTGCCTGTGGGAAGGGTGGAGAAATGTTACCCCAAATCCAAGGGGGGACAATATCATCTCTTTGCTGCTCTCTTGCATTGCTCTGGTTAGTCTCAGTCTCATCCTATGTGATGAGAAAACCCTTTTGGCACTGGTGTCACAGCTCCGCTTTGCTCCCAGGGAGGAGAAGAGGGTCATTTTCTGTCTCTTAGTTCATCCCACCACCACCAACGCTTTCAGTCAATTAAAGTGTGCTCTAAGTCTAAGGAATGGGCAACTCCCAGGAGCTGAGGTTTCCTAATAACATTCAGATATTGTTTGTGAATGTTTGAGGAGGTTTTCACACTGGCATCAGAGAAACCAAACTCAGCCTCCAGAATGGTCAGAGACAACAAAGGAAGGATTAAATAAAGGTCAAGGTCAAGAATGAAATCTTGACCCAAACAGCTGCCAATTTATCCCTTCCCTTTGGAATGGACCAAGTCCAGTGGCCACCAGTGCTTCTCTCTGGACTCTGGATGTGTTTATGCTAACAGCTGCCAGCATCTGAAAACCCAGTTTGACATCCTCTGAAGTCAGCAGGATGACAGGGAAATCCAGCAGTGGGATCAGGGCACACCCAGCAGAGCAGATTCTCTGGGACAACCCATCATCATGAGCACCAAGCAGGGTCTTGTGATGTGTGGTTTCCCTCCTTCTGATGCAGATATCATGAAGCTACCCCATGATCATGGCTTAGGCTCCTTCTTTCACATAGCAGAGTTAAAGTGGGGTCTCCTTGAGATGTCCACCTCTCTCAGATGTCCACCTTTCTACCTTCATAGCTTTCAACTGGCTGTGATGCAGGAGGCTTCCTACTCAGGGACTGGGAGAACAGAGCAGTGGAAGCACATAGGACCTTACCTATGATCCCAGTGTAGGCCAGCAGGCAGGCAGCATAGCTGTCCCTCCGGCAGCCACTTGCAGTCTGCAGGGATGGCTGGCAATTAAACTGGAACTCTGCATAACGCGACCTGTTGGAGCAAGAATGCAAAAACATAGAATGCCTCAGGCTGGAAGGGAGCTTAAAGATCATCGAGCTCCAACCCCCCTGCCATGGATAGGGTTAAATGGGATTTGAGAGCAGAAATATTTGGGGCAGAAAGAGAGATAATAGCACACTGGAGGTGTCTGCTGCATTTGCACAGAAGGGGATAAGATTCACAAGATTCTGTGCTGCTGTAGCTGTTGCTAAGCCAGTTATAATATAAAACACAGGTTTTCGTCTCGCCTGCCCCTCCAGCAAAGCCAGAAGTGAGTTTAATCACCCTGAGAGGAGATGTGGAGAGGTGCTGTAGGTCATGTTGTACAAGCATCCTTTGGGACTGCAAGAAAGGTGCGATCTTGGAAGAAATGTTTGTTTTCTGATGTGCAAAGCTGATTTTCAAAGGAAGAGCTGTTGCAGACAGCAAGATAATTCATTCTCTATTGCAGCTATCTGACTCCAGAGTACTAATCTTCCCTAGAGACCTAAGCCTTCATTTTTGGACTGAATTGCTGAAAGAGAGAATCACTCTGGTCCACTTTCTCTCTCTTCGAAGATTACGCTCTAAATGTCACTGAGGACATCTTCAGTTTAAGGGCAATGCCCAAAGACTCTGATATGCTCTCTCCATCACCATGGCTGTTGCCATCTCCTCTGCTACCGGCCCCCACTCTCAGAAGAATTGGACTCTCTGGGATCTGTGGAGTGAGAGGTGCATGTCACAGTGCTTCGACCACTGCTGTGCCTCAGCTTTTGGATGGTTGGGCTGAAAGCATCAAATCTCTCAGCATAAAGTGGTTTTGAGACCCAACTCTGGGCTTGTTGGGACCCTCCATGCAAGGAAATAGAGGAATCTTTCAGATGTGCCAGATAACTCTTTGCATGCGGCTACCCTACTAGCTTGGTAGGATAAACTCAATAAATCATGCTGCCAAACAGATATTTGACACTTAATTCTATAGGAATGGGACAATTGTTGGCACGTCTGGTGGCTGTTGGACATGGCAGGGTATTTAAGTCACCCACATGGGGATTCAGGTAGGAGATAGAACTGTTAGAGATACAGATGCACCTAGTCAAGCAGTCAGTGACCATCACATCAACCTCTCTTTCCTGTGCTATGGCCAGGGAAAGTATGCTTACCAAATTTTTGTTGTATTATTTGAAGGAGGGAGGGATCGACTGCAATTTTTATACTACTCTTGTTAGTAGAGCCCACACCTCCAAGCTGGGAAGATGGAGGGGGTTAGGACTGGTAAGAGGACTTAGCAGTGCAGCAAGGTTTGCCCTGGGGTATTTTACTCCTTCAAAGTGCCATGATTTGTTCTTGGCTCTCCTTGTGCTTTCTGCACTGCTGGCTTTGACCAGGTCACACTTCCACCTCTTGCTCCTGCCATATCTCTAGAGATTGTTGTATATTATACATTCAGAGACCAAGGAACCGGATAATTAACAGCTGTGCTGTTTGTGGGAAATGGTTTCCAGCCTCTTGGGAAGCAGCACTTTCCCCTTTGAACCTCCTCTTCCCTTCTGGGTCCACTTGTCTTGTTAGGGAGAGGGCAGTACCCGTCTGATTTGGTTCTCTGGATACCTGGGGGGAATTTTCAAGCAAGAACTGGTGGGACTAGAGGACTTTGCATCTTTTGGAGTCAGCATCAGCTCTGTATCTCAGTTTTTCTGTTATCAGCATTTTTGTGTGCATTAATGCCAGGCCACCCTTCCAAGAGGATGTGTGCTACCTGCAGCAGCCTTCACCTTCTCTTAGGAAAAGACAATTTTTTTAATGCACTTTAAGGATGACGTGCTAGAGGTGTTCAGTTCAGGAAGTCCCAAAGCCCAGAATAATTAGAGCCTGGAACAGTTCTGGGAGTTTTGTCCTACACTGGCCTTGCTCTTCTGCTCTCCTCCAGGTGTCCGCTCATGGCAAGAGCTGCACACAGGACATGGAGCTGGGATCATCAGTGCATAGAATCATAGAATCATAGAAACACAGAATAGCCTGGGTTGAAAAAGACCACAATGATCACCTAGTTCCAACCCCTCGGCTATATGCAGGGTCACCAACCAGCAGACCAGGCTGCCCAGAGCCACATCCAGCCTGGCCTTGGATGCCTCCAGGGATGGGGCATCCACAGCCTCCTTGGGCAACCTGTTCCAGTTTGTCACCACTCTCTGTGTGGAAAAACTTCCTTCTAATATCCAACCTAAACCTCCCCTGTCTCAGTTTAAAACCATTCCCCTTTGTCCTAGCTTCTGGAATATCAAAGACTTTTTGAGAAATAGAGGGGTGAAAAAAGTGCAGTTGAGGGAAAAACAGTCAGGAGTGTGCATATGGGTATCCACATTAAGATATTTCTGTGTATGGGTGCATGCATGAGTCTGGAATGGACTCCACATTGCATCCCTGCTTAGCTTGCACTTTCCTGGAAACATTTCCATAGTGGGCTTTTCTTTGGAACCCAATCCAAAATTGATAGGAAAGTTCAAATAAGGCTTCAACACCAATTTGTTCTGTTCATTAACACTTTCCATATCAGGGTATGGAACAAAGTCACGGATCATGGGAAGGAGCCACTCACACAACAGCCTATGTTAGCAGGTTGTGGTGAGCCAACTGTAGAACCATACAATCACAGAATGTCCCAAGTTGTAAGGGACCCACAAGGACCATCGATTCCAACTCCTGGCTCCTCATAGCACCACCCAAAACCCAAACGCAATGTCTGAGAGAGATGTCCCAGTGCTCCCTGAGCTCCATGAGGTCGGGGCTGTGTCCACTGCCCTGGGCAGCCTGTTCCATGCCCACCACCCTCTGGAGCAGAGCTTTTCCCTAAATAATCCCACCTGCCCCTCCCCATGGACACAGCTCCATGCCTTTCCCCTGGGGAAACGATGAGATACGTGCACTCCATCAGAATCCTACAGGAAGATACACAGCTCTGCACGCCGGGCTGCCCCAAGTTGAAGAACCCCAGGCTTGGTTGGATGCTGTCTCTCCACGCCACCCACCCCACCACACAAACATACCTACAGACGTAATTCTCACGGCAAGAGTCCAGCGGTGCCAGGCAGTTGGGTTTCTCCTTGGACTCATAGGAGCAGGCTGGAACGATGGTCTGCCGCCGGCGCTCAGCACAGGCTGTGTCTTCACAGGGGCAGAAGAGCAGCTCGTGGGTGTACTCGGGTGGCACACGGTCGAAGAACTTACGTAAGGCCTTGTGGCACTTGGAGCGGTTGCAGGTGTCGGCCCGAGCCAGGCGCCGGATGCAGAAGGAGACATATTCCGTCCGCAGCCGCTGGCACATCTCGTCCACGTTGCAGGCTTTGGCAGCATCCAGGCAGCGGTTTACCTGGGTCACCTCGTTCTCAGACCCTGTGGGTTGGTGTAAGATGGTGATGGGGTTTAGTGCTCAGCTCCCACAGGCAGCAGCGCCCTGTTTTAAGACCTTCCTCCCAACCTTTTCCTTGAGGTAGCCAGCACTGGCTTCAGGAAGGCTGTGGCCATGCGGAGTCCAGATCTGCTCTGTGTTGCAGTAGAGCCAAATCCTCTTTTCCTGAGAGGTGCCATGGCCACAAAACAAACCTCACACCCCAGAACCTGCTCTACCTCATTCCTCCGTTTAATGAAAGGAGACTTCACTCTACCTTGTGCATCTTTGCTCTACCTCAGGCACTGATCATCATGAATTAACCACACCAAGGCCTGGTGAGGCAGCAGCCATTCATAAATCATAGAATCACAGAATCACAAGGTTGGAAAGGACCTACAAGATCATCTAGTTCCAACTGCCCTCCAATTACCCTTGCTACCACATTAGAAGGCAATGGTCAATGTATGACGTGGTCAATGTATGACCATGACTGGATCCACCAGTGTGATGGGATTTGTTCCAATGGACTTTCTTTTGCCCAAGATTCAAACACCGAGTCAATGGCCAAGCCAGATCTCCTGACACATCTGATCTGCTTAGATCTTTGCACCACAACTTCTTTTCCCTGTGCAGTGAGTTTCCTCAGGCCTCTGGAGGTGCAGATAGATCCTGGAACTATTTCAGAGGTGGATGGAGCTCTCTTTTGTATCAGGAAGAATGCCACAGAGTCACCAGTAGGAATCTGTTGAGACATTAAGCTCTTGCTGATGGGAGAGATGAGAAAAGGCTCCTCCATGTGCTAGAGAAATGAATTTGAATACATTCTTCATCTCTCTGAATTAAGCCCATTACCTGAAGCACACTTAGAAGGATGTTTTCCCCAGCAGAAAAGATTCTTTTTTTTGCAGAGGAAAAATCCCCAGAATAAAAGAATTTCTGCTGCAAAGTCAAGCCCTGTCTTTGACCAGGAGTTAAAACCATCCAGTCACAGTGACAAGTGCTGATGCATTGACAGTCACTCCGAGCACTTCAAAACTGGCTGCCCTCCTTTATTTTTGCAGCCATTGTCAGATGCTCCATCTCCGAGCTGTTTATTTTCCCCTTCGTTTTGTCTCCGCTGTTTACTAGAAGATGAATTTCAAGTTTTTCAGTTATTTTACAATGGATGGCATTTTTGCTCGGTGCATTTCTACAACATAAGTGCTTCTCTTTAAAAATGCCCGGGGATAAATATTGTTCAGAGCATCAGTTTACACTGGGGAGCTGTCAGAAAATGTGTGGGAATGTTACTTGGAAAGGTTTCATTATCCAATCAGCTAATGAATCACAGGGAACATGCTAGTTGTTCTGCTGCTCACACGCAACAGTGGAGGACTTACTTTTAACATTCACTATTACAATTAGAGTGGAGGGATATCATTCTGCTTCTATTATTTTTAACGGTGGCCACATATTGTTTTTTGTAAAATTGGGTTAAAAACAGTCTATCATTCTGGCATCGTGGGAACGTCTTACATTTCAACGAGTTCTTGGAAATTTTTGGAGTGTATTTGTAAGAGGGACCCTTGGCAAGGCCTATCCTATAAATCCATGCACTGGACAGGCACAGTGTGACAGGTCATGAGCTGTGTTATGGACTGCTCTGATGTATAAATAGGGAAGAAAAATTTAAACCAAAAAACATCATGTGTCTCAATGGACGCTGAGTCCTTTGGTACGTATCCCTGCTGCTCCAGGCTCACTGGCTTTGCTGCCCAACCAGTTTCAATCCTCTTTAAAAACCTGTCTGTGTGTTAATCGTGCATAAAAATCCCTGTTCCTGGATGGATTTTGCCGTGCTCTGAAGAGCCCCGTAGGACTTCCAGAAAAAAATAAAAAGGAAAAAACTCTTGTGAAGAAGGCCGTGACCTGGCAAACAGCTTTGTGCATGCTTCACTTTGCATGCTCAAATCAGTCAAGTGGAGTCAATAAGAAGATGTGAGGTCAGGGAGCATCTCCCTTCCCTTTGCTGGTCAGATTGTCAAGGGCTGATGGGTTAATTTGCTCCTGGACATTTTCACCTAACAAGTGCCTCGCTGTCGAGGGAACTGCAGCCATCCATCAGCTGCAGGGATGTGCTGCTCCCTGCTTGCTTGGGTGCACTCCAGCTGTGTCCCCCACCCCAGAGCCAGGTGCATGTTCAGGAAGAGATGTGAGAGGACTGCTGCTTTGACACATCTTCCAGAGACAGAAGTGGAGCAAATCACTTGCTTTCAGGTGGCTATTCTGGTAATAAAAATCACTGTTGGTAAAACTTCCCCACGGTTTTGGTACAGGTTGTGTTGGCAGCAGTGACATTGGTGATGGATGGCTAAAAGCTACAGCACTGACCTTTCAGCTGTTGAGCCAAGGGTTCATGCCCTCAAGGGGGTTAAAAGGTAGGGCAGCTTTGCTCGTGTTATTAAGGGGATTACGTGATTCAGAGCAGAACACGAGACTGAGTCCACAGGCTGACCTCAGGGCGTGGGGTTAGAGGTTGTGATTGGGATCAAGCCAGTAGGTTGGACTACTGACCTTTTTGCCTTTGGGGTATCTGGCCCTGTGATTGATGAGGAAGCACCTTCTAGTCCCTAATGGCAAGCAGCCATCCAGAGCTCACCAGTGTTTCTGCATTGCACAGGTGATCCACCTGCTATGGAGAATCAGCCCACAGATGATGGCTCATCACAAGAGCCTTCCTACTTTGTCCCTCAGCCCCAGCCCTTCAGAATGGGCATTTAAAAGACAAAATGATAAAAATTGCAAGTGTTTCTTCAGGGGACATATTCTTCTACCTAGAGTTAGGCACAGGATTTGTAGGAAGGTCCTTGAAAAAAAATGGTTTCAAGACTTTAGCCATGCAATGCTTTGTAAACAGACCGTGAGAAACCATGGAGGACTGCCTCCTTCTTAGCACTTGACAGCCAGTTCTCCCACTTTGAACCAGCTAGTGCAAGAGCATCTCCTCAGCCACCTACCTGCAGTGATGGAGGCCAGCCGGACGTAATCAAAGCCCCTGATGAATGGCTCATAAGGAGAACTCTCCAGCACGTTCATACCTGGTGTGAAAAGAGCATCTGGTGAGAAGGCAGCAGAAGAGCCTGAGATGTACAAGGCTCAACAGCTGTAGCACACGTTGGCTTGGTTGCTCCAAAAGTAACTGTGCTCTAAAGGTCATAAGTAAATGGATGATCAAGGTCACAGCAACTGTTGGGATCATATCCTTAGAGAAGATAATAGAATGCAGCTAGGTTTTAAAAATATATCATAACTATGGACTAGATCAACCCCTCAGAGAACAGCTGAGTTGCAACCTTGTATAGCTCAAGTCCTGGGCCACTGAGATTGCCACTGAGGACACCAGATTGTAACACAAACTCTTGCTTATGGGCAGAGCTCATACTATCATAGTGTCAGAGAATCTTTAAGGTTGGAAAACACCTCTTAGGATCACCAAGACTAATTCCAACCCGCACCCAGCATACCCACTGACCACATCCCTCAGCGCCACATCTCCATGGGTCTGGAACACCTCCAGGGATGGTGACCCAGGGATGGTGCCAATGCCTCACCACTCTTTCAGAGAAGAAACATTTCCTAATACACAACCTCACCCTCCTCAGCACAACTTGGGCAATCACCTCTTCTTCTATTGCCTACATGCATTGTGTTTCCAACACCATTCTTTTTTTTTTTTTCTTATATATCCCTCCTTTGTTTGGTAGTCCTCATCTCTTTCTAGGATGTAAGTAGGGCAACATTTCATTTTCGTATTTATTAACACCTCTTCTCTTCTTGCCTACAGCCCCTTCTTACTTGGCGCTGAGCTAATGACCCACAACTCCCGCAGATACTTCCCCTCTTCATTTTTAAGTCACTGGGAAGCTAATTTTATTCAATTGGTGCTTCCCTTTCATCCGTTCAATGGTCTGTAATGCCCCGTCACCCTGATAGATACTAAAGAATATTATTGAAGCAAACAGCTCGGTATCATTTTTTTTTATTAGACATTTAGATGGATATGGACAGCAGCAGCAGATGTACTGGCTGGGATAAAAGGACTATCAAACCTCTTGCTCTGGGCATATGCTGATCACCAGCTGCGGTCAGGAAGAAATGGCTCCCAGGATACACAGAACTGTGCAATTACCACAGGTGCATTACAAGGCAGCTTTACACCTTCATTGAAATATCTTGCATCGTTACTGACTGGAGAGGGGCCCATTTGTATGTTCCAGCATAGCAGTTTTATGTCCTGGTGATATAGCACCTTATCAGAGAATTGTTATCGGGTTGTCATCATGTTATTGTGTCTCCAAATGGGAAGGTGGCTAAACGCAGGCACACACAAGAGAAGCTGAGTAAATAGTACGCTTTATAAATTCCCTGAGCACACACTTCCACAATTGATTTTATAAGAGGGCTTCTAGGAAGCTTTTTACAGCCTCCTGGGTACGTATGACTGAAAGACAAAGCTCTACAAGGAGCGCGTAGATTGGCTTCCTTTCTCAGTCAATTAAACATGTGTAAGGACTCTGAAACATGTGACTATTATGAAATGTATTTCCCCCAGGAAATTAAGGTAAGGAAATCAAAGGCTTGAGAGTGTGAATCTGCAATGCAAGTGAGCTTGATGCTTGCAAAAATGCAGGGCTCAGAACATGACAGCAGAGAAGTAGGGCAGTCTCTTCAATAACCCTTCCACAAGAGGAGGTGTGAAGCTGCTGGACCAACATCCCTCCCAGCCTGGCCAGCATCCATCTGGAGATGCACACCTGGCCCTTGCCCACTCCCAGTTCTCCCTGCTATCCTCTCCCTGCTCTTCCAGCAGTGGGAATCCTCCCTGCATCACTGTCCTGCACACTCACATTACTTCAGACCACTTGTTACCCAAGCCCTCTGCTCTTCCCCACCTTCTTCACTTGGTAATTAGGGGAAAGATCAGATCCTGGGTGGTGCTGGGGCCTCTTATTTCCCCAGTCAGTACGTATCACCATGCTCTGTGACCTGCAAGCTGCACTATCATAGAATCATAGAATGGCCTGGGTTGAAGAGGACCACAAGGATCATCTAGTTTCAACCCCACTGCTATTGCAGGGTCACCAACCACCAGACCAGGCTGCCCAGAGCCACAGCTTTCACTACTTGAAAGCTTTCTGAAAACTTGATCAAGCAGTTCCCATTCTGTCAAGCCCGTGCTTTATGGTCTTCATCCTCTTTGTTTTGCTTGACCTTTTGGCTTGTCACCCCTGCACCTTTCCTTCCAGCTTTCAGCCAGCAGTGTTTTATTAATCTATTTCGCAGCCTATGGTTGGAAGGTTCTGTTTTATTCCCCATTTTAATTTTCATGGTGCATAAAATACTCACCAGCCTGACAACGAAGACTTATGACCACAGAGGTGCAATTTTATGACGACTCTTAAAAAACGTCAAAACCCAAACTTACTAAACACCAGCTCTGGGAACACTTTAAATTCCAACTTGATGTCACCAGCCCCAAATCTTCACTAACCCAAAGACACCCGTGCACTTGAGATCCTCCAAGAGAGTGATTTGTTTTAAATTTACACCATTTTTTTCTTCAGTGCACAAATTTTGTGCAGTGCTTCTGTAAAATATGCAGCTTCAGGGCTTGGCTAGCATACTTCTATTTACACACAAAACATACCATGCATTTCCCCAGAGAATATCTCAAGGTATACTGGGAACATCATGAAAAAGAAGACAACATACAAAAAGAAAGGAGGTGTCTCAAGCTTTCAGGATATCTTCCTAAAAATGCCAATGCTGTGGGGCATCATAGGTCCTGAGATGGAACAGGATATGATATGTATGACCTTCATCACACTGACTTTATGCTGGGGAGCTCTATAGAGGGACTTTAGGGAAGACCATAAGAAAAGAGCACCGTACCCAACTGACCTTCCATCAACGTGTGGTGGATGCTCCAGTAGACACTCAAGCAGTGCTTCTCCTTTTTCATGCCTCGCTTGCACTTGCAGCCATAGAGCTGGCTGGAGAGCAGGGCAGTCACTGTGCTCCTGCATTGGTTCTTGGCATCGGGGCCCAGCTTGTTGGCTCCATTCCCTGCGATGCATTGCCGGAGGGTCCTGAATTTGGAGCTGCAGATGGGGTCGTTGGTGCAGGATTCACCTGCCTGAAGGCAGTCCCTGCTTGAGCTGACAGCTTCCGCCATACCTTCTGCAAGAAAACCAGACAATGTGAGGCTGATGGAGTAACCCTGGCTGGGAAATGAGTTGTGTATCCCATGAGATGGACCGGGCTGGGATGTCCACCTTCAGATACGAAGGTGGAAATCAACCACATCGCCACTCGCTCTACAAGCAAATACCTTGCTTCTGAAGTTCTTAAGCAGGCAGATCTCTCCCCGGGGCATCAGCTGGAGGATTTAAATGTCTAGGCTCACCACTCCTACTCAGGAATTGCACCATGGTGGGGCTGAAATGCCCCAGATGATGAGGAGCCCCTGTTTCCTACACCTCTCACTGAGGAGCCAGAAGGAGAAACCACCTCCATTCTTGAGACCAGGGTCTTCCTAATTTGAGAGAGTGGCCCCAAATGGGGTCAACCTGGAAGCCAGATTGTATATGCTTGTCCTATCCCATCTGCAGCATAGAAAGCTCTCCAAGGCCTTCGCCCCCCTCACTTCTCTATCTCATCTCTGCTAACTGACATTAACACAAACCCGGTCTTGTTGAACGCTCCCCTCTCTTCTCCTTGCACAAAATTTAATCTTGCTCACACCCTTCCTGAAGCTCTGAGTTGCTTTGTGTGGGGTGTTTTGACATGGAACCAGCCCAGTGTGTCCCAGGAGCTGGCCCTTGTTTGCTATCACCACCTCCCCAGGAATCCCACTTTTTTTGTCTTGCCTTTTATCAAATGCCTACACATTCCCCTCAGAGTTACTTGTGAAAATACTAAATGCTCTGTTCACCATGCTGCAAGGACAGAGAAAGGCACTGGAGGAAGGAGTCATTGCTACATGCACACCAATAAATTAAACATCCCCAGCAAGGCATGGTGATGCCATATCCCCATGGCCCAGAGCAGACCATTGCAATGCTACTAAATGATCTTCCTCTCTACAGCAGGATGGCCACATCCAGAGTGACTCCAGGGGATGGGACCTGTGCAATGGCACGCCAAGGCTATAAGGGTCATGCTGGAGAGAAAACAGGAGAATTGTGCTCCTTCCAGTTGGTGTGGAGCTCTGGAGCACGTTGACACAGGTCAAGGATGGTTGCACCATGACTTTGTGGGAGTGTTGAAGATGGAAATCTGGTTTATGAGAGGGAAGGTTCAGTCTCCATGTCTACAACGTAATTTCTGATTCTGCTGTACTATAAAAACAGAAACTGCTTCTATGACCTTGAAGGAGGACTTCTCAAACAACTCCCAGAGGAACTCCTTGTCCCCAACAATTCTTGTCTCCCTCTGGATGGGAACACATTACAGCTTCACAAGGCAGGTGAGGTGGGGGGAATTTTCTCATTTTTGAACCCTTACAGAGTGAGAACCAACTCAGACAACATTACAGAAATCTCTCCAAGGAAAAATGTGGGTCCAACATTCCCATCTCCAAGGGCTTCATCAGATCTCCCCTTTCTCCAAGAGTCTATTGATTTCTCCAGAGTTCTTTTGTCCTCCTTCCACCTGCTACCTTCCAGGCCTTGAATTTCTGCTCCTGCCTCCGCTACTCTCCCCGTGCATGTAGAGCCCATTGCTGCCATTCCCTCCATCCCTCCTCCCTTGGCACTAGCAGGGTGTTTGCTTAGAAGGAGCTGCTTCTGTCACTCTTTCTGATTAGAGTAGAAGGTAGCAGCTGGAGTTCAGATATTTCAATTACGTTTATTACAAACTTTGGGTGAACCCACCAGGAGGTTTCTCCTGAAATACCCCAATGGCATCTCAAATGTAAAACCTTTCATCAAACTCCAGACTATTTCAAAGTGCCTCATGGCCAACGTCAGGCTTTCAGTTATCTCAAATCGCACAACACCTCAAATTTGAGTTCCCCTCCCTCTGATTTATTCATAGACCTGGTTTATTTAGCACTCAAGGCTTGCTTGGATCTGCCAAATGTGGAGAGAGAAATTATTTCCAACACATAGAAAACTCTGCCTTGGGCTGTCATATCTTGAAGAACTCAGAACACAAGGAACCAGTTTCCTTGAAATATCATTCGGTCTGCAATTTCTCTGAGATCTATAAATTGAGCTGGAGCTATAGTCTCTGCCTTCAGACACTGCTGCATTTTCCATGCGCAATTCTTCTGTACAGAATCTGCTGGGGAAAAAAAGCACTTGACTTAATTTTGCCCTGGCTCTCTCCAAAGGATCTCCTCTGGCCTCCAATAAAGCATGGCAGGTTTTATTCTAGAGGAGATGACTTTGTCAGTGTCATGTCAGCTGCTAGAAAAGTAAGTTAAAATAGAAATTACAGCCCTCCTTTCCCCACTCCTCTATGTGAATGGCAGAAGATACTCCCCAGGATAGTTATAAACACAGCCAGCCCATAAAAGCCATAAAACTCCTTGGGATCTCACTGAATAAATCAAGCAGATTGACCATTTGAGAAATTTATCTGCAAAAATTTTAAGTAAATATATCCTTGCTCGCTACGTAGAACAAAGACTGGGGGGTGAATATTTACAGCCCGATCCCAGAGCATCAGACACCCTCGTGCAGGGTTTATGGTAGAGGTGTTTGAAGCAACCTTAACTGGAGCGTCACGAATGACCCATTCCATAATCATGTCACTTAAAATCCAAATCATTCAGGGGCTTTTATTGGTAGCAATGTCTTTGCAACTGAGACAACATAACGCTGCGTTCTCCTCCTCGCGCTACCCTTGAGAGAGTAATTTTATGCAACATTAAGAGAGCGCCTCTCGGGGAACAGAAAAAAACAACTCTGAGATCTATAAAATAGATGGTGCTTCCTAACAGGCAGGGAGAGAGCAGCATCAGGTCTGCTATCCCATCGGCAGAGCAGCCTTTCCAGCATCCAGGCTGGACGTGGCTCTGGGCAGCCTGGGCTGCTGGTTGGCGACCCTGCACATAGCAGGGGGGTTGAAACCAGATGAGCATTGTGCTCCTTTTCAACCCAGCCCATTCTATGATTCTTTAGGGCTTCGCCTTCACAAACACCACTTTACGGATGCTCTGCTGTGGGATTTTCCTCCACATCTGTCCCCAGCAGCTCAGTGGGGGTGGGGATATGTGTGCAGCTTGGGAGTTCTGTGCCTCTGCTTTTCTAATAATGCAACTTCCAGCTCCCTCTGCTCTCTTTAAAAGCCCATTTGTCTGGATTTTTATTCCTCGCTTGCTGCTAATTTCACGCTGTTTACGGTGGGCAGATGGGGTAATGAGTTTATTTTCCCATCCTGTTTGTAGCTGTGCACCACATCTGTTTCAACTCTTGCTTACCTCGGTGACACCAACACAAAGGCACTCCTAACCTGCAGAGGTAAGAGAAAAATCTGACTCTTCCATTGCCTTCACCAAAAAAAAAATGCATTTGGATGGACATGGAGACCTGACTCTTCTCCAAGGAAAACGTTTCCTTCACCGTGGAAATGCAGCTGTGTCTAGCATACAGAAGTGTGAAGGTGACACTACATGCCAGCTTGGAAACAGCATACAAATCCTTTTGTATGACCATACAACAATTTTGGGCCCCGCACTCTGATTTTCTGATCCTTTCTGCAACAGGATCTGTATTGTAGATGCTTTAAGAGGCACCGCATCACATTGCATCAGAGGTATTGGCCTCCAGTCATGCACCAAGGGATGGTCAGGTTGGATATTAGGAACAATTTCCTCTTGCAAAGAGTGGTCAGGCACTGGCACAGCTGCCCAGGGAATGGTGAGGTCACCGTCCCTGGAGGTGTTCAAGAATCATAGAGATGTGGCACTGAGGGATGTGGTCAGTGGGCATGGTGGGATGGGCTGGGGTTGGACTTGGGGATCTCAGAGGTCTTTTCCAACCTGAATGATTCTATGATTCATGGTGCTGGTTCAACCTACGGCCTTGGCACACCTCCCTGTCCCTTCCAGATTTTGGATACTTTAGGTGTGAATCCATGCACAGTACTAGGAAGTGATGAACACTGTTATTATTTCCTTGACAAGCTGTTGACTCCAGATCATTTTTTTGGGTTTTTTTTTTTGTCTTTTGCATGGTTTGTTGCTTAGAGGAGAACAGCCATCTGAAATCTCCTGTAGAGCAGAAGAAATGGTTTATTGCCTGTTTAGGTTAGTTGGATGTCTTTTACGTAGTTCTTCCTAAGTCAGGCCTGCCAAATCTTGCACAATGAGCACAAGTATTGCACAGAAAGCTCCTGCTCAGGCTGAATCCCCTGTGCTGACCCATCCTCCTTGCTATGGGGCACACTGTTGACCCAGAGCTGTTGGAAATAAGTTGTTACTCGCATTTTTTCCTGGAGCAAGAAATGATGGCCAAGGGAGTCCAGAAGAAATAGTCATAATATTTTCCATGTATCCATGAGCCAATAATGATGGGCACAGGTAACTGGCTGGCAGTCACTCTTTAACCTTGTTTAGACTATGTTTCCATACCCAGATTTTACAGTCAAGTGCTCAGTGTCACCTAAGCAGAAGCACCTAAGCCTTCGAATGCAGAATTAATTTTCCATCTACGGTTGAAATAGTTGCAGAATGTGCAGTTGACTGCCTTCCTTGCAAGCACATGGTTTTGGAGGCACATACCAATACCTGAATACCTTAGATTTTCTCAAAGAGGGGAAGGAGCTGTGGCTCTCAGGTGTCCCTCTCTCCAAGGGCCCCATTTGGGGCACCTAGGAGTGCCTGGGGCATGTCAGAGTGCAAATGCCACTGGAATTTGGCTGTCTGCATTACTCTTTTGTGCATTTACTTGGCCTTGTGTTGGATGCCTGAACTGGAAATGTTGATGGTCCTTCCCCCAGATCTGTCAGAGAAAAGCCCTACCAGGAGATCCCCCGTCCAGAATTCACAGCTGTCATCCAGATTTCATAGTGCCCCTGCAAAGCCCTTTGGGATGCTGTTTTGCTGAATTAGATCAGAGCAGCTCACGCAGGCAAGATGTCAGCATTCATTGCTATCAACTCTCTGTGGAATTGGATGATGTTTACAAACATTACATGCACAGAATGAAATCCCCCAATGCAAAATGATCTTC